CCACCCATCATGGATCCATTGCCAGGGATCCCGGCACCAGTGCCACCCATCATGGATCCATTGCCAGGCGATCCCGGCACCAGTGCCGGCCATCATGGAGCCATTGCCGGCAATTCCGGTGCCAGTACCGCTCATGGAGCCATTACCAGTCATTGCGCTACCTCCGCTAGTCATGGAGCTGTTGCCAGCGGTTGCACTGCCAGCGCTCATCGGTAAGGAACCATTCCTGACTGCTGAACTGTTAGTAGACATCATGTTGCTACCCATGGTTGAGCTATTGCCGCTGGCCATTGAGCTGTTGCCAGGCATCGCGCCTCTACCGTTGCTCATTGAACTGTTGCCAGCCATAACATTGCTACCTGGCAGTGAACTGCTACCATTCATCGGTGAGCTGCTGCCAGGCATCGTGCCTGCACTGCTGCCCATAGAGCTGTTCCCAGTACCTGTACTGTTACTGGGAGGCGAATTGTTACCGGTGGCCGTCCCACTGCTCACGGGTATCGTGCTGTTACTTCTGGGTATTGAACTGCCACCAGACGTGGTTCCGTTACCGGTTGTAGAGCTACTGTTGGTCATTGGCAGCTGAGCAACTGCTGCAGAAACGACGGCTAGGAGTATATATAGTAGACGCATTGCTCGTAGTGTACCTGGAAAAAAAAGGGAGTAGATTCTTTCCACCTTATCTACTGCTCCACCAACGAGACGCTTTTTTCAGACTGTGGAAAGTTTCGAAACAAGCCGCGGCTCAATTTTGTAATGTATTTTTTATTCTCATTAGTTTTGAAGATCTTTGATCCAGTGATCGCAATGGCTGGTGGTTTAATGACGTCGCTGAACATTATTGGTGGAAGGACGTTAAGAGGCGGTCCTAATCACGCCCTCAGCGCGCGAGGGAGCCAGTAGATCGGTGACATTCAATGACAACAGCATAACCCTACCTTCGTGATCAAATGTTGATCTGATGGTCAACATCTGTCATATCATAGTTGAGGATATTTGAATAAATAAAGAATAATTAAATAAGTTTAAAATTTGAGCTATGATGTGTTTCGAATTTTCCTTACGATATAATTCAACTTCATGGAAATTACATAGTTATGCCAAGGTTTTATGTGCAGCCAAACGGCACTCCAGCGCTTGAGATCCCTGTTTTGTTGCTTTCGAAGCACAGAACACGATCAAGGTGATGTGATTCTCCTACGAGAAAATGAGAACGATGGGTTGCTTCTGACGAAAAAATAGTAGAAGAGTCGTAGAAAACACAAAGATCAAAGGATTCCTCGTTTTATGATTGAGAATTGATCGCGCAAAGAGAGGATAAGCGATAGAGCAAGGGATGAGAGAGCGCAAACACCCGTCCAGTAGCGAAAGAGCACAAGCGGAAGCGGTAGCAGCGATCTGGCAAAGGCATTGGCGCCTTTGCCACGCACTTTCGAATCATAGCAATGGGATATCCGCTTTTGGCCGAAGCTCTGTACTACACATCGTAGGGCTCAATCCACAATGAATCCATCGTAGGGTGTGCCTTTAAGCCTTTAAAGGAAGCGATTACGATAAAGAGGGAGCGCATCGGGCATATGCACCACACGAAGCAGTTACTTGGCTGCCAAGGAAGCGAGTGTGGCGCTTTCACGACGAAAGGTGCGCTGGTTGCTGAGCAGGACTTCGAAAGCACTCCGCCCCAAAAGCGATCCGCCCACTAGTTTAGTTGGTGATTTGGACGTTGCCAGCAGCGGCACAACTGGAGCAACTCGACTGGAGCATGGATTGGCATGGTGCCACCAAACGCGTTGCGGTAAACTCGTCCATACGTCCGCCGCTTAGCCGGTGCCCACCCTCAGGGGAAGATTCACGGCCAAACAAGGGGGTTCCCCTTTTCGCGTTTGCTTGACGGATTTTCCTGATTTTCCGGCATCAGCGTAGCACTCCACCGTCCCTTGTAAATCCCTTTAGTCATATGGTAGTCGTTGCCTTCAAGTTATGAGATAATCCTCCAGATTCGAAAACTACAGGGATGTGAATTTATAACAACTATTCAAGCATAACTGTGATAGGGGCTAATGAAGACAAGAGTCGAATGGTTAGAGAGACAAACCTCAATTTGCTTTCAGAAGTAGGTAAAAACAAAAGGTTCAAATGTAATTGTGTTGGTAAATTGATATAACTAACCACACGGAAACACGGTACGAATGGTGGGCGGAGCTTCTCAACAGTCTCCATTTTGCCTAAACAACAAAAGGATTTGAACTGCAATTATGACAAATGGGACGTGGGTGGGACACCGTAGTCTCTTGATCCCATCCAAATAACACGAGGATTTACAACTTTGCCATCATATCGGCTACGAGAACCAATTCAGATCCA